AGTCACTGGCCTGACCCATGAAAAAGGACATACTTTGGACCTTGTGTTGTCGTATGGTTTATGTATTACTATCAGTGAAATATGTGACACATGTTTTTCAGATCACCTGCCTGTTTTATTTACTGTGGTTGTTCCCAGTTTGGAGATTGAATTGCCTTTAATTGCCTCCCAGTTTGGAGATTTAATTGCCTTTAAAGGCACAATATGTAATTTTCGCCGCTGGAAGGCGCGTATTCTAAATAAACAAAGAGGCAAAGGCATAGTTTGATGATGCCGTGACTGAGTGTGGAATCATGGGAGTTGTCTATTGTCACCTGTCTATTAAAACGCACAACATATTAAAGCGTATTTGGTGTTTCCATGTTTTCTACAAAACAAAACGGTCAAAACACGGTCCATGTCTCTAGTTAAAAATTGCTTATTTCTCTGGATTTAAACATTCTTCAAAACATTTGGGATAATGCAAGTGCACAAGTCAGCAAAATATATAAAACTGTTCTAGTGGTTTTTGGATACTTTAATAAAAAAATATGACATATTATGCTTTTAATTGCCTCACAGTTTTCTAGTGCTTTTAAAAACTCATTGTTGTACAATCTTGATGACTGTAATCTCAGTGTAGAAGAATTCACTGTCTTATTTAACTGTACTTGTACTGAGATATTGGACTCTGTTGCTCAGTTGAGGAAAAAATGTTGCTGGTTGAATGACATTACCCGCTCCCTCAGACGTGCCTGCAGAGTAGCCGAGAGAAAGTGGGAAAAGGATCAACTCAAAGTCTTGTTTAAATTTTGCAGGACGCATTATGTAAATACCAGGGAGCAGTAAAAAAATTGTCCAACCTTGTAACCAGTAACAGCCAGCGGCCTCAGGTTCTTTGTAATGTTTTTAACTCTCTTGATAACCCTTGTTACTCAGACTGCATTGTGTCATCTTTAATATTATGTGAAAACTTTCTGAAATATTTTGTAGACAAAATTGCTGGTCTAAGTTTTCCACCCATCATGATTATCAGTGACCCCTCTGACTTTTCTTTTTGCCCAGCTGTCTTCCAGCATTGTACAGTATCTTTGGTTAATACATTGCTCAGCTAGGGGTGTGTACCAGCTGTTTTTAAACAGTGCAACCACTTTTAAAAAAAGAAAAATTTGGATCCTTCAATTTTTGTCTTATTTTAGACAAAGTATTTATGAAAAATTTCAGTCTGGTTTTAACCTGTTAACCTGCACCCCCCATTTTGGAACTCACAGCTGAAAATGGCCTACCTAACTTAAGATGGTAACAGTTCCTGACAACAGTGTGCTACACACACAATTTTGGTCTCTTTGGAAAGAAGACCCTTTGGGCTTTACTATCCATCATCCAGAGTTGATAATGCTCAAAAAGATTACGCTCCGTCACAGTACGGAAACTGCTCTTTTAAGAGTTTCTAATGATCTTCTTCTAGCTGTGGACTCCGGTAACTCTGCTGTATTAGTCCTTTTGGAAGGAATATGGTCAACCAATCAATTATTTTATCCAGACTTGAACAGTGTGTTGGCATTAAGTGCATAGCCCTCAAATGGTTTCAATCGTATTTGACAGACAGAAGTTTTTCTGTTCACCATGGTGAGTTTTCTTCATCTGCTGCCCCTCTTCTTTGTGGTGTGCCCCAAGGGTCCATATTAGGCCACATGTTGTTTTCTTTGTATATGTTGCCCTTGGGGTATATTTTTAGAAAACACAGTATCTCCTAGCATTGTCATGTGGATGATGTACAAATTTATTTGCCCATCAAAACAAATGACAAAATTTAATTTCCATCATTATTGCCTGAGAGATTTAAAAATATGGCAGGATCAGAATTTTCTTTTTCTTAATGAAAATAAGACTGAGATTGTTGTGTTTGGTCATTCTGGGGATTTAGGTGCTTGTATAGATGCTCTTGGTAGTTTAGGATATGTTCGTCCATTTACCAAGAATCTCGTGTGATTTTTGACAGTGCTTTTAAATAAATAAATAAAAAACAGATTAGTTCTGTTGTAATAGGCTTTTTTTTCAGCAGAGACTGTTGGCTAAAGTCAAGCCTTACCTGCCGCTTAAGAAGTTTGAAAGAGTAATCCATGATTTTATAACGTCGACTAAACTACTGTAAATCTTTATATGTTGGATTGGATCAGTCGTCTCTTCAACACTTACAGTTAGTCCAGAATGCAACAGCTCGGCTACTAACTGGGACTAAAAAGTGTGTGATAAATAATGTCACAAATGTTCTCAATTGTATTCAGGTCTGGGGAATGTGAGAGCCAGTCAGTGGCATCGATGCCTTCGTCATCCGTCACACTTTGGTCAGAAACATGCACACTAGTAGCCATTTTGGTCATTTAGAGGTCATTTTGAGGGCTCTGCCAGTGCTCCTGTTCCTTTTTGCACAAAGAAGCGGATACCGGTCCTGCTGCTGGGTTGTTGCCCTTCTACGGCCTGTCCAGCTCTTCTTGTGTAACAACCCATCTCCCATATCTCCTCCATGTTCTTGAGACTGTGCTCGAAAACACACCAAACCTCCTTTGCGTCAGCATGTATGAATGTGCCATCCTGAAGGAGCTTGGCTACCTGGGCAATCTGAGTGGGTTGCAGGTACTGTCTCATGCTACAAGTAGTGAGAAGGACCCTAACAAAACACTACACTACAAATCCACAAAGACTAGTGACAAATCAGTCAAGAAGGATAAGAGGAGAGCAGAACCTGCAAAACCATTCCCTTTTTGAGGTTTGTCTTACTGTTGCCTCTCCAGTGTCCCTGTTGTAACTTTCATTTGCACCAAAGCAGGTGAAACTGATTCACAATCACTTGTGTTTCCTAGCTGGACAGACTGATATTGACTTGATGTTGATTGATGATTAAGTGTTCTCTTACTTTTTTGAGCAGTGTGTTAAGCAGACGGTCTACTAATACTCTAATGACTGGTAGTTGACATGTAGTTGCAAAGTTACTTAAATCAGCAGAATATCTAAAATTGACTATCGAAATAAAGTGTTACTAAATTACCAAATGTCAAAAGGTCCTCTCAGAAACCACAAATTAGAAAAGAAAAGAAAAGAAAGAAAGAAAGAAAAGAAAATGAAAAAAAAAAATGATTCCATTACTGCACAAAATGATCTTACTGTTAAGTGTGAAAGTGAAAAAGTGACGTGACATGTGGCCAAGTATGGTGACCCATACTCGGAATTAGTGCTCTGCATTTATCCCATCCAAAGTGCACACACACAGCAGTGAACACACACACCGTGAACACACACCCGGAGCAGTGGGCAGCCATTTATGCTGCGGCGCCCGGGGAGCAGTTGGGGGTTCGGTGCCTTGATCAAGGGCACCTCAGTCATGGTATTGAAGGTAGAAGAGAGCGCTGTACATTCACTCCCCCCATCTACAATCCCTGCTGATACGAGACTCGAACCTGCAACCTTTGGGTTACGAGTCCGACTCTCTAACCATTAGGCCACGACTTCCCCAAAAAAAGCTATAGTAGTAATAGTTATTTATTTTTATTACCACATCAGCATCTAAGACTATCTTCATGTCAAAAACCGAGTTGCAATAATTCAAGAGTTACATAAACACAAAATAAAAACCAAACAAACCAAAATTATACAACATTTTTGTTTTAAATCACCAGATGAAACCCATTGGCACTTGAAAGGTGCTGTGCATAAAAGCTTCTGCTAACTAAATTTATGTAAATGTACTTTTTTTTGATAAACCAAAGATGGCCCTGTTTACCTGAAAAGACATTTGTCTGGGGTGCATAATCTCAAAATGTTTACTGGGTTATACCTTCCAAGTAAGACTAACAAACTAAATTCAAGTGAAAATATTTCATTCTTGCAGAAGCACAACTATCACTGCACTTCACAGATCTAGGCTTTATGGCCAAATGCAGGACTGTCCTCAGTGCATTAAAGCACACTTGGTAAAAAAGAACCTAAAGAACTCAGACTGAGAGAAACAAGATTCTCTGGTCTGATGAATTTCATCACCAAGAGTCATCTCTAAATCAGGCGCCACTCATCATCTGCACAATACCATCCTAACAGTGAAGCATGGTGGTGCTAGCATAATTTTTTAGGGGTGTTTTTCAGTCGCAGGGACTGGGAAACTGATCAAAGACAATGTAAGAGTGGCTTAGGGACAGATCTGTGAATATCCTTGAGTGGCCCAGCCAGAGCTCCAACTTGAACCCAATTAAACATCTCTCTAGAAACCTGAATACATCCACTGACAGTCCCCATTCAAACTAAAGGCGCTGAAGAGAATCTTTAGAGCTACAGTAGGAAATCCACAAATCCAGATGTGCAAAGCTTGTTGCATCAAAAGACTTGAGGCTGCAATCCTCAAGTGCTTCAACAAAATATTGATTTAAAACTTGTCAACAATATATTTCAGCACTTTTTTTTTTTTTTGAAAATGTTAATTAATTTGAAAATCTGAAAGGTAATTACGAGCTTAAGCACATGAAACTTTCTACAGCTCAACTGTGTTAATTTTCTGAAGAGCAGATTGTCGTTTATAGCTGTGAAATGTGTAGTGTTGCATAGACCTCATGTGAAGACTTGTGTCTGAGACCACCCGAGGCTTTCCATGTGAAAAAAAATAAATGGCTTTTTACAGTAGATTAACCTTCAACCTTTATATGAGCAGTGACAGAGATTGTCTAAGTAATGGATGCTCTAGTGCTGTGCATTCAGAGAATCTAACGACAAACAATTCAAGTTCTAAATAGAAGTACATATGCTTCATGTATATTGCTTTGTACAAAGAATTTGATTACTGTGTAATTTATGCACACACATACATTATTTATATTTAATATTCCTATGTGTGATTGAGGTAAGGTCATATAATAGATGGTAAGCTCCACAGAAGTTTTCATAGCAATCAGTTACGGCTGAACATCACTCATTAAGTGCCATTGCCCTGGTGAAGAGATGCAGTTTCCATGGTAACCCCCGCTGTCTCTCACCTGTAGTTCAGGATCCTCCTCATGATTCAGGTGGGCTTCCTCTGCTGCTTCCACCAACCGCTGGAGGGCAAGACAAATGGATATTATTGGCCTGTTTTAATGGATTCCGTTTGTTATCTCCCCATCATTAATTTAGCGTTTCCTGTTCACAGTCACACACACAACACATGCACACACACTGCAGTTGATCCCTCTCTAAAATAATAAAGACGACAAATCAATTTTCTCTTACAAAGATACTTGCATTATAAGTGGAAATATTACATCAATCCAAGCCTAGGTGATATACTGACTATTGGTGATTATATAATATAATAGTGTGTGTGTGTGTGTGTGAGTTTTGAGTGTATGATGGACTTTGATTCATGCTAGATTATAAAAAAAACATATGTAAGTAAATATTGCTGTTTGTTACTATGTATTGTGGAGAATATCAAATACATTTTTTGAGTGTTTTTTTTTAAGAGGAAAACTGTATGGAAGAGAGACCTTGGTTGTTGTTTACTTGGTTTTTACTGCATTTTACATTTTGCTGGAAACATTTGTATTTTAACTGGCTATACTGTTCTTGGCCTGAATAACCTGCGCTAATCTTTATGCTGATAAACCCAATAAAACTCTGTTTAAAAGATGCAAAGACAGTTACCTTTATAGCTTCAGCCTTCTTGTGGAACATCTGCTCCATTTCCCCAGCAAGTTTCTTCACCAGTTTGATTCCATCAATTTCCTCCACCCTCACTGACTGCTCAAGCTCCTTGTATTTCTATGGGGAAAAAAAGACATCTGACAATGACATTTATAAAACAAATTATCCCACTCCTTGCTGCTCATTGGCCAGTCCAGTGATAGACTAGTGACAGTGATAGATAGTTGTGATGTGAACAGCTGTTAAGCAGCTACTTGAATCTCACTGCATATCACCCATAGAAACCAACTATTGATAGGGATAGTCCTGCCAAAAAAATTACAATTCTGTCATTATTTACTCACACTTACCTTGTTCCAAACCTGTATTCGTTTATAGGTACAACTTGAGGATGAGTATATGATGACAGAATTTTTTTATTTTTGAGTGGAATATCCCTTTAATCCTAGATGTGCTGTTGGAATGAAGATCTGATCCATACTAAGAGCAACGGAAAGCTGCTTGATTTGGCAGTGACACCTGTGCGAGTTTGAAGCCAAACTGACAATAGACCCACACAATTTCACTGACATTTCACTAATGTGACCACAGCATTTATATCCCTTGTAAATGGCAGCTGTACCATAACATTTGAACTTTTGTATTTCTGGTTAGATTTTAACTAAATTTCACTACTTCTGTACTCTGCAGCACAATGTCAACTTTGAATCTAAACTAATTATGTTTTATGATTTAAAATTGTATTTATTCTGTTTCTATTTATTCTGATGAGCAATGTTTAGTTTTTTTGGTTTGTTTGAAAGGAGAGAGGGAAGGAGACAGTCAGAAGTGCTCTTGGCTTATGTGGGGATGAAACTAAATATAATCCTATTCCTGATCCCATAACTCCCCAAACCTCACTCTCAAAGCTCTTCAATCCACTCCACTACACTCCAGGCCAAACATTATCTCGAAAGGCTAGAGATGTGGCTCTTCACATGACTAGCCAAGCATCCGTGTGTGTGTCTTTGCACATGTACACTTACATTTTATTTTACTTTTACACTAATTAAGCAACTGACGGTTATTTATTGGCTGCTCGGTAATAAAAAATTTAAAAAAGTCCACAGATTGTGCCCAGGCTTGATATTAGCAAAGAACATGCAGTTTATGGGAATGCCGCAACAAATAATGATGGTGACAACTGCAGTGAATTCTGTCAATACATACAGTAGTTGCATTAAGAGCAGAACAGACATACAAAAATTACAAGTAGTTTACAAGTAGAAACTTGTAAAGTTACAAGTAATCCAAAATGCAGCAGCTACATTCCTGAGGGGGTGTAACAAGTTCGATCATGTTACTCCCCTCTTGTGATCATTGCATTGGCTGGCAGTTCACTATCGAATTGAATTTAAAATCTTGCTACTTGTCTATATTCACTCAACAATCAAGTTCGTAAGAAATCTAAGAAACGTAGCAAGTGCATTGGTAAAATAGTCCATGTGACATCAGTGGTTCAGCCATAATTTCACGAAGCTACGAGAATACTTTGTCTGCAAAGAAAACAACAACATAATTTATTCAACAATTCTTCTCCCCGAGTTACCGTCTTCCACCATTTTGGAGAGTAACCCAGAACATAATAAACGTAATGAGCATTTTTTAAGTTCAGCAAAAGCACGCGCATGCTGAACGTAAACAACGCTCATTACATTGGTTCAGATCAGGTAAAAATCAGATAGACAAAACACAGATTGGAACAATAAGGAAGGAGAACCATGGAAAAAGAACATACTGTAGGCACAATGCAAAACTTCAAACTAAAAGTCCAAACAACAAAAGCACCATGACACTTAACTAACACTAAACTACATTACATATTGTCACGAATTCGGTTCATGGACTTCCGCTTATTCACCACCAGATGTCACACTTTCCATTACATTGACTCTCGCACTACACAAACTGTTGCATAGCACCCCGGACTACATTTCCCATCATTCTTTGCACAATTTGCACACTGCCCTGATTGCACTCATTGCACACAGCTGTTTCTAATTACCTCATTCACTATATAACACCCACTCTAACCCCCTTTCTCTGCTGAGTATTGTTTAGCCGGTACCCCTTTTTGAGTCTCCGTGTTTTCCTTAGAACCTCCAGAGGTGGCGGCATCCGCTGCAGAACCTCCAGAAGTGCCAGTAGTACCACCTGTGAACTCTCTGCTCATCCTGTTTCAGCCAAGGAGGCTGTCTATGAACTCACTGCTCGTCCTGTTCCAGCCAAGGAGGCCGTCAGTGAACGATCTGCCTGTTCTGTTCCGGCCAAGGAGGCCGTCTGGGAATCCTCAGTCTGTCCTGTCACGTTTATGGAGGCCGTTTGTGAACTATTGTCTTGTCCCGACCCAGCCAGGGAGGCTGCCCCTGAACGCTCAGTCTTGTCTATCAACCCCAATGTTCTGTCTGTGTTGTCTGTCTCTGCTCTCTCGTTGTTACAGTCTCCGCCATGGTCTCCTGATCGGTGTGGTTCACCAGGGGGGTTTCCTGTTCCCTCTGCCCCGCCGTGGTGGTCTACTGTCTGGTTCTGGTGGTCCTCGGCTCTGCCGTGGTGGTCCTCTGCTCTGCCGTGGGGGTCCTCTGCCCCGCCGTGGTGGTCTACTGTCTGGTTCTGTTGGTCCTCTGCTCTGCTGTGGTGGTCCTCTGCCCCGCCGAGGTGGTCTACTGTCTGGCGCCGGTGGTCTTCTGCTCTGCCGTGGGGATCTTCGGTCCCGTCTGCTCTGCTGTTGTGGTCCTCAGCTCTGCCTCAGTCCCTGGTCTCTCCTATTCTTGAACATGTCCCTCCACCGCCCACCTGGATCGTTTAGTGTTTGGAGCATCTGGAAGCCGCTCCTTGGGGGGACTCTGTCATGAATTCGGTTCATGGACTTCCGTTTATTCACCACCAGATGTCACACTTTCCATTACATTGACTCTCGCACTACACAAACTGTTGCATAGCACCCCGCACTACATTTCCCATCATTATTTGCACACTGCCCTGATTGCACTCATTGCACACAGCTGTTTCTAATTACCTCATTCACTATATAACACCCACTCTAACCACCTTTCTCTGCTGAGTATTGTTTAGCCGGTACCCCTTTTCGAGTCTCCGTGTTTTCCTTCCGAGTTTCTGTGTTTTGCCTTGCCTTGCCTGTTTTCGCGGTTTCTGATCTTTGCCTGTTTTTCTGGATTTTTCCCTCTCGTCTCACCCCTGTGATTCTGTCTGCTGATCGGTGACAGAACTCCGATCGGTGACGCTAGCCCTAGGACTATTCTTGTGTTTTGCCCGCCATATACCTGTTTGACCCTGCCTGTTTACCACGTCTCTCTAATAAAAGCTTGCAGATGGATCCACACGTCTCACGTCTCGTCAGCCCCATCACACATATATTAAATGAAATGCTATTTAGTGAGAGGCAGAGTTACATTTGGTACAATTATCACATTTAAAAGCCTCCTATAAATATAGGTGTGTCCAACCTATTTGCATGTAGGGCTGATCATTCTTAGTAAACTGCCCACAAATAGACCGTAGTGTGCACGAGTGTGACACAATTTCTTTTATATTGTTTGTTCTATGTTTTGGGTTAAGGGAGTTAGGGAAGATGTGTTGTATTTCTTTTTCTTTCCTATGTTTTATTTTGGTTAGAGAATTTAAAGGGTATACTAAAATTTGTTAATTTTTGTTTGTTATTTTGGCCTTGTCCACTCCTGAATTTGTTCCCTTTGTTACTCATTTTCATTATAAGTTTGTTAATAAATCTCTTTTTTTGTTTGATAATATCTTGGGAGTGAGTGCACGTTTCATTTGTTGCCACTGGCCCTAGACGGTCGTAACACAAGCTACAGGTAGTCCAAAATGCAGCTGCTAGAGTCCTTACCAGGTCAAGAAAATATTATCTAATTTCCCCGATTTTACAATCTCTGCACTGGCTACCTATTAAGTTCCGTATCAGTTCCAAAATCGTACTACTTATTTTTAATGTTTAAGGCCCTTAATGGTTTCTCTGCAAACATGTCCTTGCGGGGCTCATGCTGGCTTTTTGCAGGCACAGTATGCTAGGGCCAGCCCACACCAAACCTAAACAGGCCCAGTGTGGGCTTGCCCAGGTGAGGCCCACAGCTTTGGGCTCACCTCAGGCTCTCTGTGAGCAGGCCACACTAGTGGACTGCCACATTAATCCCATGATGGCCCAGTGTGGGCCAGCCTGTTTGGGCCAAGATCAACTTTTGTACCCTTGGGTCCATGCAGGTTTTGTATAGGCAGCCCTGTAATGCAACTAGGAGAATACAAATTGACTGGCCATTCTTTAGCCACTCAATTGAACTGCAATGGCTCAAACCAAAAGAGACCTTTTCAGAACCTGTTGTTTCATATAGGCCAGGGATCCTCAAATCTGGCTCACGAGATCCACTTTCCTGCAGAGTTTAGTTCTACCCTTAATCAAACACACCTGAACATGTCTTCAGGATCATTAGAGAATCACAGATGGGTGAGTTTGATCAAAGTTGGAGCTAATAGGCTTGTTCGAGATGAACTAAACTAGCCTGCCACCGGCTGGAGAGAGTAGCCGCTTGCAGTCAGGGCGGAATTAAAAGCGGAGACAGGAAGTCAGACACTTTCTGCTCCCGGTAGTGACACTCGCACGGAGCTTGCATATTCTATCACAGAAGAAGTGAAATAAATAGGGGTGACTCAAATTGACACAGGCTGAATTTTTTTGATCAGGTAGGGTACAAGTAATTTCAAAACATTTCAGCCGGTTTATATATATTGTGTATATATTATTTATCTCGTATAAGATGCATTTGGTTGAGTAGGCCTAAGCTGCAGTAAAGCACTTCATTGTAATACTACGGTGTTTATTTCTTCAGCGCGCAGCGCGAGCAGGGCAAACAACAATGCAGAATATTAATAACTATGACTGGGACTGTCATTTACATAACATTATAATGAGAACTCTATTACAATAAAATGCTGTGATTTTTTGAGTTTAGTTGCTGTGTTTCTGCACGTTGTTATGTGAAGACATAAGACGCATGCGTCTACAAAAGGAGTTAATTCAGAGCCGCGCAGACACGTTCTCATTCGGG